AGGAGTAAAATGTAAATACAGAAGAATGTGCGATAATTTTGATGTTTCACACTTTTGCTTAGATTCACATAAACATAAGAGCTTCCAAGAAAAGCTTCTATTTGCCGAAGTTGGACTTCTGAAACAGTACGGCAATTAGACATAGAATTCAATATTTTTTAAAAGAGGAACGACACATTATTTAGTGTACAACATACATGATGCCACTTTTGTTGACCCCTGTTCCCCACACACATATACACACCTCACACTCAAGCCTCAAATCTCAAACACAGAAATCAGTCCTTTTTATATGCTCTTGAAATTCCCTTGGCCCTTTTAGAGTTATTAACCAGGTCACAAGCTTCTCCCAACCCAGCAGTTTACCTAATTGCCTTTTTATAGTGTTTCATGCAAGTCTTCATTATTCTGTCAGAATTCTGCTCCAAGGCTCAATTGAGGGAAAGGGAAGTAGGGACAAGCTGAAATGAATTGCCCAGCAAATATGTACACACATGAGAAAAAGTGATTGTGTGTGTGTGGAGGGGGGGGGGCACAGATTCTCAGATTACTCCAGGGCTTTGCAGCTGATAAATAAATCTGCCTTTCCTCAACCTGGTAACCTCCAGAGGTGTTGGTCACCAGCTCTCACAACCAAGTTAAGCCAGCTGGAAATTTTTATAAGGATACTCTATGTGAGTTTCACTTCTAAGATTTTTTTAAAAAAATAATATATGCCAACAAAGACTTTGAGAAAAGCACTGTTTTAGTAAGAATTTTAGTAAAATTCAGAACTGTTGGTAGAGGAAAAGAGTAATCTGACAGAACTGTGGTCCTTCAAATGTTGTATAATTGTGACGTTTAAAAACCTAGTCAGCTTGATCAATGTTGTTGTATGATAGATGCTACAATCCAACAACATCAAGCAGGATTCAAAATGTTGTACCCCTACTTTATCCCTATTGCAATTAAATATGGTCATATATCTGCCTCCAACAATCTAGACATCATGGTCACATACTTATTCTTGCCCAACTGATACTGGCTGGTGAGGGGCAGTTGGTGGGTGGAGCACATTTCAGATATATTGCTGACCATGTAGTCTCTAAGGAAGGCTTTCTTACTGATGGATTCTACCTACAGGAAATACAGCCCCAATTTCCTGGTAATTAATATGCTTTATCCATAACACAGAAGTGTGTAGTATAAGTTTGCCCAACAGCTTTGTAAGGTTGTGAGCTGCTTTGGGTCTCAGTTTCTGAGATACAAGCAGGATAATCATTGGCTGAGACAGTAACACCTTTGTCATGTATGGTTCCGTGTATGCAAACTTTGTTTAATGCATAAAATGATTATAAATATTGCATAACGTTGTCTTCAGGCTGTGTATAAGGTGCATATGAATCAAAATGAATTTTATGTTTAAACCTGAGTCCTATTGCCAAGATATTCCATTATGTACATATATGCAAACATAGGCATGCCAAAATCCATTCAAGACACTACTGGCCCCAAACATTTTGGATAAGGGACGCTATTTATTTATTTATTTATTTATTTATTTATTTATTTATTTACTGTATTTGTATACCACCTTTCTCACCCCTCAGGTGACTCAACCTGTACTACACTACATTTTGCCCCCACCCCAGCCTATGGCACCTAATGAGTCCCATTTCAACATGCTGATGGAACCAAACCTACGTTTTGAATTGACTTGAAGGAGCTATCCAAGGTGCTGGGTCTATTTATGTGCTGGGTTTGACCAGATTCGAAAGCAGATTCACACACTGATACAGGATCCTTCAGGCATGCCTGGAGCAAACTCAGCTCTGCTTGGGCTAACTTGGCCAATGCTGTTTTTCGGGGGGGGGGGGGGGGGGGGGGGGGGGGGGTTGTTTTTGACAAAGGCAGCAGGAAGTTTCCATATCATCAAATTCAGCTCTGGCTTTTTAGCTGCACTTTAAATGAGCTACGCCAGGGACTGAACTTAACCTGAATAAATACAACACTTTGGACCTATTTTAATTAAAGCATCCATAGTAGGTTCAATGCCCCACTGAAATGGGAACCACCAATCACTGCTTGGGTTTTTTTTCTCCTCCAAGGTTTTTTGTACATCTGGGATCCATGGCATTCTCTCTCTTTGTTGAACTACAACTTTTATAACAAAATTTGTTATAAAAGTTTGTAACAAAACATACAAATACAAGTATTGACTGGAAAATTAGAACACAAGGAGATCTGAACATTGATGGTTGTCTCTGAAGAAATGGAATAATTGCAACTCCTACTCTCACTGTCTGTTTGTGGCCTGTGTCAACCTACTCTTCATGTCTTTCAAGAAAATCACAGAGCTCGAGGGGAAATTACTTAAAGCCAGTGTCTACCTCAACGTTGTGTTTTAATTTTGTTTCTCTCTCTTTCAATACATTATGATTGTACCCTCAGTTCACTTCTGATATGATAAATAAATAACCCCAACTGAAGCTAATTAATAGAAAGTCAACGTTTATGTAAGTTTCACTTATTAAAATGTTTCATTCTATTTGGCAGTAACAATGAGATACAGCTCCAATGGAGCCAGCATAGTGTAATGGTTTGAACATAGGATGATGATCTGGAGAACAGGATTTAAATCCCTGCTTGACCATGAAAACCTACCGGGTGACTCAGAAAACCCTGTGATAGTTTCACTTTAGGATTGCCCTAAATGGGAAATGGTCTGAAGGCCTAGGAGATAATCCCCAAAACCCTCCAGCCATCATGAGGTATTCCCAAAGAGAAACTTTTCCAAATTGTGTGCTGGGCTATCATATCCTAACAGGATAGTAAGACATCAGGAAGCAGCTTGGACTGAGATTCTGTTCATGGATAGAGCAAAGCTTTATAGGATTCTTTATTAAAGCAGCTCAGGATACTAGGAAAGGGTTTTTCCATCCTCTTCTTTAAGTTCCACAACTGTCTGGTATTTCCTGGTTCCTACGTGCCACTGTAACACAGGTCTAACAAAATCTTTGCTGTTGTTGTTGTGTGCCTTCAAGCCATTTCCAGTCTATGGTGGCCCTAAAGCCACACTGTCAAATGTTTGTTTGGCAAGATTTGTTCAGGAGAGGTTTGCCATTGCCTTCCTTTGAGACTGAATGAATGTAACTTGCCAAAGGTCATCCAGTGAGTTTTATGGCTGAGCTGGATTTTGAACCCAGAGTTCTAATCCATTCTGAAACTCCTACACCACACTGGCTTCTGACTAAACGTAGACACATGCAATTTAACACGTGCATCTTTTTTGTTTGTTCAATCTAGTTCCATTTCCATCTCTTTCTTCTCTTGGTTCTCTTCTATGAAGTCATAAGCTGGTTGAGACAGGGACATGTCTAATGTGCATTTCTTAAAATCCATTAAGTGCAACATGTCTGCATATGTCCACAACTAGCAGCAGTAATGCAAACTGCCAAATGGCTATCTTTGCAGAGACTATGAACCAGCAAGTACATTTTTCTGCCTTGAATAAAAATAGTTATGAATGTAATATTTATTCATCTCATCCCCGTAGACATGGTGTGGAGTTTTATTGGAGATCTTACAGCAGAGCTGTTTTACAATTGACTGATAGACTGCTGTGAAATGAACAAGACTGATCCATCTGGTCTCCCAAGAGAGGAAGCTCTAGCTTTGTTTGCCTGTTTTGTTTTGGCTACTGGTGCACAACTTGAATCAGTCAAAGTGGTCCCTGGTCAAAGTGGTCCCTGGTCATAGTGGTCCCTGGCCAAGTGGTCCCTGGTCAAAGTGGTTCCTGGTGAAGTGGTCCCTGGTCAAAGTGGTCCTGGTCAAAGTGGTCCCTGGTCAAAATGGTCCCTGGTCAAAGTGGTTCCTGTTCAAAGTGGTTCCTGGTCAAGGGGTCCCTGGTCAAGTGGTGCCTGGTCAAAGTGGTCGCTGGCCAAGTGGCCCCTGGTCAAAGTGGCCCCTGGTCATGCGGTCCCTGGCCAAGCAGTCCCTGGTCTAGTGGTCCCTGGTGGTGCCTGGTCAAAAAAAGGTTGGGAACCACTATAATCTTATCTCTAGACTAGCTACTCATTGAGGTCTGGAAACGTGATGACACAAGAGACTTGTGCAGTCCAGGGACGAAACCCATGAGTTTGATACTACTTGAACTGCCATGGCTCAATGCTATAGCACCATGGAAGTTGTAATTTTATGAGGCTTTGTGCCTTTTCTGCCAAAGAATCTTGTTGCTTCACCAAACTATACATTTCTGAATTCCACATTGAGCTATGGCAGTTCAAGTGGTGTCAAACTGCATCAGTTATGCTACCAACTTTGTGCTCCCAGTTTCTAAAGTGTTAGGAGACCTCTTTGCAAAAATGGTACTATTCCAGACTAACAGGGCTATGCCTTTGAATTCTCCCCATATTTATGCTTGATACCTCGTGTCCGTTGCAAGCAAGTGCTTGTCCGAAAGTGGTGGAAAGGTGGGAGGGGAGATCTGCCTGCCTGTCTCCTTCCCCTCCGAGGCTTTGCTGGGCAGGGTGATTAACTCAGGGGTTGCGGGTCGCCGCCTGCTCCGAGGAGATAAGAAGGCGAGTCGTTTAACCCTTTGGGGGGCTTGGCGAGGCCGTTTCTTGCCTTCGGAGGAAGAGGACCGTCTGGCGGGGCTCCGGAGGGAGTCACCGCTTAAATCAGAGACCTCGGAAGGGAGGGAAGGGGCTTGTTTTCCTCCAGGAGGAGCGACACGTGTTCCAGACTCAGAGAAACCCAGGGAAAGAAGCAAAAAAGGGGGGAGGGGGCGTGACCTGGTTTGAGCGCGCCTGCTTGCTTCCATGCAGGAAAGCCTCCGGCGACCTTCCTTGTGTCTGGGATGTTCTTTCTTTCTTTCTCTCACACTCAGCGTAAACCTCTCGGTGTCTGTTTCCGAAAGGACCTGCCTTGCCTTTCCTCTCCTCTCCTCTCGACATGATTGTCAGCTCAGGCGCCCCTCGAGAGACCTCCTAACCTTTGAATGATATTGGCCTGTAAGGTTTCCTTGGCGGAGAATAATGAGGAGTTCGTGGGGAGCGTGGGCGCCGCGGTCCGGTTCAGTCACTCCTTCTTCGTTCCTTTCCTTCCTTCTCTCTCCTCCGTCTCTCCAGCTCGCTCTTTCTCTCTCTTTCTGCCCTTCCACAGCCGCTTTCCTTTCCCTCTCGCCCGCTGGCAAAGGAGGGAGCGCAGGGAAGCGGAGCATTATCCACTCCTTCCCATCATTTTCTCTCCTCCTCCTCCTGGCAATTTTCTCTTCTTTCTCATTCCTTCCTTTTTGAATTCTGCTCTCTCTCTCTCTCATCCTCTTTTTGCTCCTTCGCTGCACACTCCCCAGCTCGGGCAGATCAAGGCAAGGCATGGGTTGATGCCGGGGAGAGAGAGAGAGAGAGAGGATGCCTTCCTGAACTCCAACACCATCCATCCTTCCTGCCGAGAAGAAAAAGAAAAAGTCGGGCAGGTATAGTACTTTAATGGAGGAGATGCAAGGGAGCTCCGTTCAGTCCGCCTCAAACCCTTTTTGCCCCTTTTTGCGACCCCCTCATCACACTAGAGAATGAATCCATTTTAAATCCGGTTTCTGCCTCCTGTAGAATTCTGGGGTTTGTAGTTTAGGAAGTAGCCTTTAGCAGCCTCCCTAAACTACGAACCCCAGAATTCTGCAGGAGGCAGAAACCGGATTTAAAGTGGATTCATTCTCTAGTGTGATGAAGGACCTTTAGACTTTTGTGTTGTTTTCATGAGTCTTCAAGTTGCTTGGATCTAAAAGATTAGAAAGGACTTCCTGACTGTAAGAGCTGTTCAACAGTGGAATTCTCTGCCTCGGAGTGTGGTGGAGGCTCCTTCTATGGAGGCTTTTAAACAGAGGCTGGATGGCCATCTGTCGGGGGTGCTCTGATTATACTTATCCTGCATGGCATGGTTGGGCTGGATAGCCTTTGTGGACGCTTCCTAGAATATACTTCTATGAGTCAATGCTTTTGTCTGTGGTAAGGTTTGCTTTGTTCGCAGTGGAGGTTTGCCTTGTCTTTGAGGCTGAGAGAGAGTGACTTTTCCGAGGTCATCCAGCAGGTTTTCCAGGCTGAGCCGGGACTCGAACTCAGAACTTTTGCTCATTTATCATATATTCATTATAAATAAATTTCGTGTATTCAGTAGGTTTGCATTGATTGGAACTAGAACACCAGAAGCGATTTGCAGTTTCCCAAGTCGCTCCTGACACGGAAAAAAATAGACTGGAACTAAAACAAGAGGATTCCGACAGTTCTGTGGCTTCAAGGCTATTCTATCTCATGGAGACCTTACCAGGATGCCAAGAGGTCTGTCGTCGTCTTCTCGGCGGCTGAGAGAGTGTGCCTCGTCCAATGCCACCCACTGACTTTCCATGGCTCAGGGGAGCAGGGGTGCAACTTATTGTCCCCCAGAGTGCAATTGTTAATTATCAAAGTGCCACACGGATTTATTCGGAGCAGTCTTTTCCTAGGCTGACAAGTATTGCTAGGCTGAGAGTGTGTGGTAGTGGGTTTCCATGGCTGAATGCGGATTCCAGTCCTAATCTTTCGGAGCCTTCAGGCTGGCTCTCTGCTGCGTTAAGAGGACAGCCTCCCTTCCTCTTCTCCTCATCTCCAACATCAGGCAAGGTTCATCACCAGCTCTCTTTTCCGACTTACTAACCCAGGAGTCGGGTGCCATCCATGGACTACAGCAGGTTAGTTGCCTTCAGAGCTCTGCTACTCCAAGAGATGGTTCCTGAACTGCTGGCAAGTTAGGTAGTGGATAATGCTGCCTAAGAATGTGGTGAAATCCCCTTCTCTAAAGAATTTGAAGCAGAGGCTGGATGGCAATCTGTTGGGAGTTCTTTGTGGGGGTTGGACTGGATCCATGGGGCCTATCTCAATTCTAGGGTTCCAAGGAAGGAAGGCTGCTTGTGGTGGGCTTTCAATTCCTGTCCAACTTTTGATAGCCCTGTCACAGGGTCTTCTTGGCAAGGTTTGTCTTTGCCAAGCCCAAGGTCGCCCAATGGATTTCCACGGCAGAGCAGGGATTCAAATCTTGATCTCCAGACAACTCTTAAACGGCTGAGAGGAAAAGGAAGGGGCCTGAGGCTGTTAGGAATTGTGGGAGTTGAAGTCCAAAACACCTGGAGAGAAAGCTACACCATACAGGATCTCTGGTGCATTACAAGAGAGAAAATGCCAGTCTTTCGCATCAGGTAGGCTGAGGAGCTCTGCCTTAATTGCACAGGGACATGAATACTCTGAAGGAACCCGATTCTGTCTGATCTCGGAAGCTAAGGAAGTTCAGCCCTGGTTAGTCTTTGGATGGGTGACCACTAAGGAATACAAACTGCTGTATGCTGTGTTTCAGAGGAAGCACCTGGAGAAACCAGGTCTGAGTATCCCTTGCCTAAGAAAACCCTATGAAATCCATGAAGTGGCCTTGAGTCCACAAGCAATAGCATAGTCCAGCAGCTTTTATGGTTGCATCTACTCTGTAGAAACAAATGCAGTTTCCCTAGTTTTTAACAGACCTCACAACCTCTGAGGATGCCTGCCATAGATGCAGGTGAAACGTCAGGAGAGAATGGTTCTGGGACATGGCCATACAGCCCGGAAAACTCACAACAACTCAATGCAAGCCGCTTTAACTGATATGGCTCAAACTCAAGGAATCCTGGGAGTTGTAGTAAAGCAAGGCACCAGCACTCTTGGACAGGGAAGTCTCAAGATCTTATAAAACTTCAGCTCTCGGGATTTCATAGTATGGTCTCAAAACTGTATTAATTCACTGGATTGCTGTGAGTTTTCCGGGCTGTATGGCCATGTTCCAGAAGCATTCTCTCCTGACGTTTTCCCTTCATCTATGACAGGCATCCTCAGAAATTGTGAAATCTATGTATTGTCGAAGGCTTCCACGGCTGGAATCACTGGGTTGTTGTAGGTTTTTCGATCTATATGGCCATATTCTAGAAGCATTCTCTCCTGACCTTTCGCCTGCATCTATGGCAGGCATCCTCAGAGATTGTGAGGTCTGTTGGAAACTAAGCAAGTGGGGTTTATATAATTGTGGAATGTCCAAGGTGGGATAAAGAACTTTTGTCTGTTTGGGGCAAGTGTGAATGTTGCAATTAGCCACCTTGATTAGCATTGAATGGCTTTGTGGTTTCAAGGTCTGGCTTCTTATTGCCTGGGTCCTGGGGGAATCTTTCGTTGAGAGGTGATTAGCTGGTCCTGATTGTTTCTTGTCTGGAACTCACCTGTTTTTGAGTGTTGTTCTTTATTTACTGTTTGATTTTAGAGTTGCTTTAATACTGGTAGCCAGATTTTGTTTATTTTCATTTTTTCCTCCTTTCTTTTGAAATTGTCCATATGTTTATGGATTTCTATGGTTTTTCTGTGTAGTTTGAATGATGGTTGTTAGAGTAGTCCAGCAGTTCTGTGTTCTCAAATAATATGCTGTATCCAGGTTGGTTCATCAGGTGCTCTGCCACGGCTGACTTCTCTGGTTGAAGTAGTCTGCAGTGCTTTTCATGTTCCTTGATTCGTGTTTGAACAATGCTGCGCTTGGTGGTCCCTATGTAGACTTGTCCACAGCTGCATGGTATACAGTAGACTCCTGCAGAGGTGAGAAGATCCCTCTTGTTCCTTGCTGAAGGAAGCATTTGTTGGATTTTCTTGGAGGGTCTGTAGATAGTTTGTAGGTTGTGTTTCCTCATCAGCTTCCCTATGTGGTCAGTGTTTCTTTGATGTAGGGCAAGAACACTTTTCCTCTGGGTGGATCTTTGTCTTTACTCTTCTGATGTCTGTGGTGGAGTATCCATTGGGTCTGTAAAGCCCAGTTTAGGTGATTCAGTTCTCTTGGGCTTCACAGATTCTTTTTGCAAGGCCTGCCGGGGCTTTAATGGTGCTTCTTTTTGACTTGGGCGATGGTTGAAGTTTTTATGTAGGTATCTATCTGTGTGTGCAGGTTTTCTGTAAACTGTGTGACCCAATTGTTGATCTGGTTTGTGGATGACTAAGACATCTAGAAAAGGCAGTTTTCCTTCATTTTCTTTTTCCATGGTGAATTGGATGTTTGGGTGGATGTTGTTAAGGTGGTCCAGGAACCTGTTTAGTTATTCTCCATGGCTCCAAATGGTAAAGGTGTCATCCACATATCTGAACATCGTGGGCAATGCAGGCTCCTCTCAGGCTCTTTGTTTGGCTGGGAGAGGGAGAAAAACGGTCCAGAACAAGTTTTTGCTCCACATTCCGTTCCAGCAGCCTTGAATAAACTGCTGTAAGCCATTCTTGGAGCCATTCCCAATGTGGGCTTTATGTCTACCCGGAAGTAAGTCCCGTTAGCCTCAGTACTCTTTCCTTTGCCCTAAGTGTCCATGTAGAAATCAATGCAGTTTGACACCACTTTTATTGTATACATCCCGGGATTCCATACCATTGAGCCTTGGCAGTTCAAGGGGTGTCTTTTCGACGTCACTCCGCTTTAAACCGCTCCTATTTCCCGCCTGCTTTGCCTCTGACAGCATTTAAAACACGCCTCTGCTTCCTGTGAAAGTGGAGCCTAAGTGCCCTTCCACACAGTCAGAATATCAAGGCAGATGATCCACAATATCTGCTCTGAACTGGATTATCTGCCATATAATCCAATTCAATGTTGAATCTTGCCTCTGGTACCTGATCCTGCATCCTCCAGTCCTGCACAACTCAGGGCTCTTTGTTTCTTCATTTATTCGTCTTGTGCCAACTATGTATATGTCACTTATTCTTGAACAATAAACGAGAAGTCGGTCCCTTGTTTTCTGTATCTATGAAAAAAATTATAGAACTTCGAAAGTGTCCCATGTTCCAGAATCCAGGGATTTGTAGTGTGGCGGGGGTCTCCTTCCTTGAATTATGACACCGCAGCTCTCATGAAGCCACAGATCCCAGAATACCAAAGATAGGACTGGAGCTATGCCATCCAAGTGCGACAATTGGGTCATGTGGACAGAGGGAAATGAACCCAACAACAGTAGGTTTCAGTGGAATTGAGAGTTAACTTCTTCTTCCCTTCTCCAAAGAGAGAACCTGAAAGGGAAGAGATCTGTTCGGATAAGGTGTTAGGATTTAAGGCAGGCTGACATTTTCAGAATTTGCAATTGGGAGCATTTACACTGCCGGCCACATGACCTTGGAGGTGTCTATGGAGTCACTCCGGCTCTTCGGCTTCGAAATAGAGATGAGCACTACCTCCCAGAGTCGGACACGACTAGACTTAATGTCAAGGGGAAACCTTTACCTTTACCTGCATTATTGAAATAATGTGTTCAATATCACTTTAACTGCCATGGCTCACTGCTATGAATCTTGGACTTTGTAATTTGTTGAGGTACCAACACTCACCAATTAAGCTAAAGATCTTGCAAAACGATCGTTCCCTAGGATTTCATGGCAGTTAAAGTGGTGCCAAACTGCATTAATT